GATGATTTCCAACATTTAAACATCGTTGGTAAAGAGTTCTTTTTTAAAGGTAATTTGAGACTTTTAAATTTGAGCTTTAAAGCACTCTTTCATAATGTTTGTTTCAAACATCAAATGTGACTCTGGACCACAAAACCAGTCATAAGTAGCATTGTATGGGTCAAAATTATAAATTTTTCTTTTATGCCAAAAAATCATTAATATATTAAGTAAAGATCGTGTTCCATGAAGATATTTTATTTGGATTTTTTTGCACCCTCAGATTCCAGATTTTCAAATAGATCTCAGCCAAATATTGTCCTATCCTAACAAACCATTACATCAATGCTTATTCAGCTTCCAGGTGATGTATAAATCTAAATCTCAAAAAATTGACTTATGACTGGTTTTGTGGTCCAGGGTCACAAATGAGGTTTCCCACATACATCCAGAGCGGCTTGAACCATTACATTACTATAGATCCTCCTGGTGCGTACTCTCCATAGACTGTATAAAAACACTCTCAGTTCCCGCGCAACGCTGCGGGCTTTTTTTGTTGCCACAGCAACAGCGTCATTTCATTCTGAAAGCAAAGCGCCGCCGAATCCAATGCTGTCAGCTAAACCGGTGTGGCTATGAAGTTTTTGTGTTTAACAGCATGCTTGGAGAAAATTCCGCTAACTTAGTATAACTTAGAATAATACATTTTGTTACTGGTACTGTTTTACATACCAGTTACACATTCTAACGTGTTTGTATTTCTTTGGTTTCACTCTTAATTCAAACTCCGGTTAATTCTAACAAGTGCGCATGCGCGTTAAGGTCTGCGTCAGTAACGACAATGGATTCAGAGGGTTGTGCTGCAGACGTAAACAATGTAAGTAGATGGATATTGCTGTCTCGGTATCAGTAGAAACATGGTTTAATTGCGTGTTTTTGATTCTGGAATGTGTAAGCCTTCGATACAGTTCCTACATGACTAACGTTAGCTAATCGGGATAACCTTGTAGCTACTATCACTGCATGTCAACAAGTGAGCAGTGCTCAAAGTTAGCGCTAATGGCTGTACAAAGACTTGATGGCAGTAGTCGTATGATTATTAATTTATATAGTCAATATTGAACCGAAGGCACGAGAGCATACTTGGATGAGCTTAAAGCTTTGTAGTCATCGGCGAATCAGTTGCTAGCTGGTTCAGGCTAAATAGCGAGTAGCAGTTCTTCACTGCAGAATTTAACTGTTTTACAAAAAGAGCAAGAGTATTGTAGTAACTTTAGTTGAATGTAAATCACTCTAGTCTACTAACTGGTAACGAATTGTAATAACCCCCCACCCCCGTTATATGCAATTGATGGCAGAAATACATGAACGGGCACTTGCATACAGGTGTATCTCAATAAATTAGAATGTCGTGGAAAAGTTCA